CAAATAAAGGAGAGTGCCTCCTAGGAAGGGAGCATTACAGATTGATCATATATAAACTCTTTTGACTCTTGTTCATTTTTAACCCCCATGTTCAAATGGCTACTATTTGGACAAAAGTTTCCATAATTTTTCATTCTGATTTTTGTTTTGGATAACAATGCTTATGCTCTCAAATACTTTTCAAAAGAAGGGGCTTTTCTGGTTGATAGACTATTTACAGTAGTCCTCTATAATTAAATTTATTTTGAGATTTAGATATGTTAAATTATAAGTCTTCATTAACCAGAATTCTCAAAATATGGGGTCAGGTGTTTAGTGTTGTGCTTATTTGATCAATATTTCTGTAACACTCTCTACTTCCACATTTGTCCCTGAGAAAAGTAAAGTTTAGAATCAGATTGCTGTGTACAAATCCCACCTACAACACTTTAACAGCTGGTGACCTTGAACAAGGTATGAAGCACTCTATGTTTTTGTATCTTTATCTAGAAAGTGAGGCTGATAACAGTACCTACTTCATAAGACTGTGAGCACTAATTAAATAAGTTAGCATACTCAGAGTGCTCAGGATACTACCTTAATGAATGTCATGTATATGTTAGCTGTGAGTATTCAAATCAGTTGAGGTCTTTTCTCATTCTTTGGTTGTTAAACTTTAAGTCTAAATATACTGTAAGAAAATACTTCCTTGACATAGCTATTTTAGAAGCTCAGTTGATAAGCAATGGAAAAACTACATGGAAAAGATTTTGAAATAGTATGTGTCACATGATCCTACTTCTATAAATTATACGTATGCATTCTGTGTATCGATATAAAACTAACAATAGACATAAAAAAAGAGATTTATCTATAAAAGTTATAAAAATTACTTTTTTCCATAGTGGCTTTTTCCTTAATTTCTATTTTCCTTTTTTTTTTTTTGCCATGAAAACATATAATCAAATACTAGCTTTTTTCAAGGTGTTTTTATTGTCCAGTATTTTTTAGAAATGTCCAAATGAAACCTTCCTTTCAAGCTTTACATTGGAGATATAAACTAAAACTGTTACATTTTCTTCCTTACCAAGTAAGCATGTTGAGGTTAATTATATGAAATTTGTGATTCAGCTACTACATAGCTTTTTTTGGAGAAGCTCAGTGAGTTACCCAATAATTCCAGACCGACATGACTTGTATTTTATGGCATTAAGTTTCATTTCATTGAAAAGGCAGTTTTATGGCATTAAGTTTCATTTCATTGAAAAGGCAGTTAAATGTACTATATTAAACTTTTTGCCTTAAAACTAGTTCAGCTTTACTATTAGAAACTATTTACTAAAAGTGTGAAATAAGAACCTGACCATTCCCAGTCTATCAGCACATAGTAAGCTTTTGGTTTGTGTAGATGCATGTAATATTTTTATTTCAATCTGTTAAGAATATGTTTTCCCTATTATTTATTCAGTAAATATAAATACTGGGTGGCTACTTCTTGACTAAAGTGTGTGGTAGCTAATATGAGTTTGTTGGCTTTATTAAATAGGGAGATGTTAAGGTTTCTAACCTTACTCTGAAGTGCACCTTACCAGTTTTGTAAAAACATGTAAATCAGGAGAATAATTAACAAGAAGAATTTTATATTCCTTATAGAGTTATAAGAGATGTGCAGTAATACTATGAACAAAGTTATACAAAGATTTGTAAGAGAGCTTTAGGGAACACTTTTTGAATTTCTTGACATAATAGTTGAAAGTATGTTCCCAGTTTACTTATGCTACTTCTGAATGAAGATAATTATTAGTCATTTTTCTGCTTTCATTGTCTTTAAAATCAAGAACTTCCTGTTAGTTCTTAACGTTCTTTTGCTTATAAAACCTCCAGTTCCCCACCATTCTGTCTTATCTTCATCTTCCCCAGCAATATCCAACCATTCCTGACTATTCCCTCTTGCTAAGACCTAGAATTCCTTTTTCACCTTTTCAAGACTTTTACCTTTTCCTGGAATATTCTTTTCTTTTTCATTCTTTAAGTCCAAATGCCACGGTGATATCAGGATTAGTTTCTCCATCTTTTCCTAAGACCCTGTTTATACTGCTGTTTTGATGTGGTATCATAACTAAGAACATCTAATTTCAAATTTTAAACCATAGTTTATTCATCCTTTTATCACCTACCAGGCACATCTTGAGCTTGCATTGTACTTTTTACTACTGTTTGTTAACAGCAGACTGGGTAAAAGAGTCTTATTTTTAAGAGTTCATGTTATGTTGTTACATTTTCAATGTATATAATGTTTGTGTTGATATATGGATATTTGGCTATATACCTATTAGTAGGCATAGTTGTTAATGGAAATTCTACAATAAGGAATCCAAAATTTTAGAAATTTGCTGGTACAGATTCCATGATATAATGACCAAGTGAGCCTTCAATGAGACTGCTATGGCATCCAGTCTGTCATTATTTATTGAAAATCTGTGTGACTTTTTATTTATAAGGGAAAATCATAGACAAGTGACATACAAGGTTGATATCTAAAATTTAGTAATTTAAATGAAGAAATCAGATGAGTCCCACATTTGCATATAAACTGACTTTTTTCCCAAGTTTTCTCTGAAGGCACCTCTAGCCTTCAGTACATTTTGAATAAAGTACAAACACAAGTAATATGAAACATAGTTGAAGGTTCTTAAGGGATTTGACTAATTCAAACTATTTTGAGTCAGATTATATAGTACAGTGAATCCTGCCATATGCCCACATTTCTTTTTCAATTTAATGGACTGAAGTTGTGGCAAGTTTAGTGTAAAATGTTACTTTCTATACAAATGTATAAAGAGCTGAACTCAAATTCTGATATTACTACAGTGGCAATACATAATGGGGAGAATCCTCATTTAAATGAATGAAGGTATAAATAAATTAATTAGAAAACATTTTGGTGCTATAGAGTATGGGTGTGTGTGTGTGTGTGTGTGTGTGTGTCATTTCTAACACCAGAAAAGGTCTTATTCGTGTACCATTTCTGTTCCTACCCTTTATTTTCTAGGGGGTGGAAAATACATCAGCATACACATTTTGGAATTTTGGAAGTGGATTTAAAATATTTGTCATTTGATAAACTGAAAACAGGAATGAATGTTAATTGTCAAATTAAATATGAAGGAAGTTTCTTCATTTACTTACCTATGAATTTAAGTGTTCATAGGCAATTCATAGGGAGAGAGTACAGGAAATAACTTCAGTCACTTTAGTATAGATAAAGACCAGGAAATATATATTTTTTTTTTTGTACAAAGTTTAGACTGTTGAGAAGTCATTTGAGATATGGCCATAAAAGCACTGTTGCCGGCCCTCCCTGGTGGTGCAGCAGGTTAAAGCACTGCACTAAGAAGCTTAAGCCACTTCGCATGAGTTCGATCCCTGCCTGCTGCTCCCCTCAGCAGTGTACTTCGTCGATCTGCTATTCTGCTCCCCAGTCTGTCCCTGGTGAATCCTCTCACCCTCCGCATCTCTGGCCTGTACCCCAGTTCTGTATGAATAAATAAATCTTTAAAAAAAAAAAAAAAGCACTGTTGCCTTAGAAATAGCATATTTTACTAAATCTTTCATTGTTACAGAATTCACTACAATTATATTTTCATTTTTGTCATTTTGTTAATACGTTGCTTAGTTCCCATATAAATCTTGTCTTTAAAGACAATTCATACTAGATTTTATTTATTTAGTCCTTGAGCAGAGGCTTCCAGATAACTACAGTGTTGCTACTATCTATAATCAATATCTGAGATGGGATCTTTATTGCTTCTGTTACTTTAAGGATTAATAAGGCTGGAAACGAATTCTGACATTGATAAGAGAGCAAAATATATTTTTGATGTGATCAGAGGACTAATTTCAGTGACCTTTTAGTTGTAGAAACTTGTATGAGCAGTGCTGTAGTTTGGTTCATCTTTATAGAAACTTCATTCACCCTGAATCTGGATAGTTACTTATCTCTTGGCTTCTTAAAAAGATTTATGGTTAACTTCTAATAGTTTACTTAAGTCTTGAGCTACTTCCTTTATTTGCCTCATGGAATCTTCTTAGGTCAGGAGACAAAATAGAATTCATATTTACTCCTCAAAGCTCATGATGTGGGTCCTTAATAATAATTGATAAGTTTTACTTAGTAAAAATAAATGTATTCTCTTAACATTCTACTTAAATTACCAGTAATGCTTTCATCTTAGGGAGGAGTTGTCAGCTAAGAGTTTCATTTGTGACCTCAGGTATATTCCATACCTCTTTAAGGATCTATTTGTTAAATGACCTTAATACTGTAAGGAAATAACTTAAAAATGTACGTGTTAAATAAGCTCCATTTTTCATTAAACCCTTTTTTTTCATTAAACCCTTGACACATTCCTAATGCAAGGATTGAATACGTGGTGTTATTTTTTCAGTCATGCAACCAGTCTAAAAAGCTCCTCCACTCTTCCTCCTTTGGGGAGGAGGGAGTCTCCAGAAGGGGCAGTTTTAATGGCATGTAAACTCTGCAAGTTATACAAGGCCCAGTGCTTAGTTTAATCTTTTACTATTACCAACTCAAAAACTCTCAATTATTTTTAAACAGTAGGCCCTGTATGTCCCTCTGCAACAGGGCCCCACACATTATATACCTTGTCTTAATCCCCACAAACTAAATGTCATAGAACATTTTAATATGCCATGAATAGCATTGTCTATTCCAGTTGTATAAACCAAGTCTGTGTCCCTTCCATTACCTAAACTGCAAGACACCTTTACATACAAATTTTATTTGAATGTGTTATAAAAAGACAAAAATGTAGCTGACTTGTCTTTACTGAACTGAAAACCTTTTAAATACTAGCTCTCCAAAGGCTTTTGAAATTTGCTGTTTTAAACAAAACTCTGTCATTTTGGGAAATAAAGTGCTTGCTTAAAATACAAAAAACATCTTCATAGGTGAAATAAATTAAAATCAAAGCAGGATTTAACTCATTATACCATTACAGGTTATCAAGTTATGCCCAGCCAACAGCAAAACTACCAAGGAATAGTTGGAGTTCAGCAACCTCAGAGTCCGAGCCTGGTTGGTGGCCAACCCAACAGCATTGGAAATCAGATCCAGGGAGTAGTGATCCCCTATTCTTCAGTGCCATCCTATCAGGTATGTTTTCAGTCTACTTTGGGAAGAAGTGACGTTGAATAAAATGTGTAGATATCTGCAGTGTATCTTTCTCTTTTACTATTGGGAAAAATGTTTTTAACACAGACTCTTACAGAATTTTATTAGTCACATAGCTGTCTTTTACCCTCACTTTATTTCTTTATTCTCATAATTCTGAAGAAAAAATATTTTAACTACACTGATACTAGCAAGTAAATGTTATCTGACAGTGTCTATTATTTCCAACTATATGTAAGTATATAAGCAGTTATCTTATTGGAAGGAGTTCTTCAGCTCCTTAGAAAGGAGGAAAGAGTATAATGAGAGCAGGAAATAGGTATTTGAAATAGTGAGTTAGAGTACATGTGATACGTCAATGTCTATAGAATAAAAAATGTGCATTTCCAATACTGGAAGTGATATTTCCCCCTCCTTAATCCCAGAAGAATGCTCTATCATGGATTACAATTTATAGCTAAGGTAGAAATACCTATTGTGTAATAAATAAATGTGATATCTTTAGTGTAAAATGATATATTTCAGTAATTTGTTTGACCTTTAATCTTTTTGGAATAACTTGTAAATGGGTTTGATTGTCTTGTGGTTTTCATAGCTGAATACTATGTTAAGAAATCCAGAGATAATTTACATTCATCCCAACAAAGTAAAAACAACCTATTTTGTGAGATAAATGTTACATGTATTTTATTGAAACACATATAAACAAATTGGTAACGGTATACACACCAATAACTGAAAGGATCAGTCATGCAGGTTAGGGACTTAATATAGAAATCTTCCTGAAAAATACAAACTTTTAGTTCTAAAAAGATAAGTATGGGCATAAATTCATGAAGAGGACATTTTAGGGTTGTGGTAGTATATGACTAAAGTTACTAACATACTCCATTTGTGATTTCAGAAAATTAAAAATGAAATGTAAAATGTTTAATTGTTAAGTACTTTTGAAGGCAAAGACTGTGTCTAGTTTTGAAGCCCCTTGACAATAGAAAACAGCCAAGAAAAAAAGAAAATACATTCTTGAAACTATATTTTGCATCTTTGTTTTCTCTAAATGCTTTTTACTCCTTACCTTCCTGCTTGGGCCTAAGCACATAATACTCTCATCCCTTACTTCCTTCATAACTAGATATTAGATAAGGTCTGTACCAAGCTAGGAACTCTTCCTTCCTCAAGTACTCTGGTCATGCTACCTGATCTAGTACCTTACATATCTATTAGATGCCCAGGCATTTTATATATAAGCAAGATCTATTCTTGATCCTTAGAGATGCACAGTCTAGTGATAAAAAATTTGTAAGTAAATTTTAACGCTAATACTATAGTTTTACTGCTTTGTTTGGTTGTTTGTTTAATGAAACTAGATATTGAAAATGTTATAAAACAAAAACAGTTACTTTCTCATGTTTCTTCATATCATACTGGGTAAATGACTATGAGAAGTAGTGTTCTGACAAGCAATGAATGTCAGCCTATTTTTACACTTTTGCTACATTACATTTAATACATAATCTGGGTGGTGATATACTGTTATCTAAAAGATAAGCCAAAAAAGTCACTTGTCCTTAGTAGAACGTATTTTGTGGCTATGTAATGTGAAGTACGGTGTCCTCTCTTTTCTGTATTTAATTTTTTTCCCTAGACCTATCTTGCATATATATACAGTCAGAATTTATAATCTCAGTGTTTCACTGCTTCATAGACAGAAATACTGAAATATATTAGAGAGTTGGCTAAATAAAGTCAATAACTTTCTCTGTGCAATAATTGAGTCAAAGGGAAAGTTACAAAAGATCACTATTGTGAAAGAACTGGTTACATTTCAGAAACATGTTATATTGTGAAGACTTGGAAATTAATCACTGACATAAAATCACAGGATAATGAAGTGGCAGAAGAACTGAGGCTTTGGAGCTAAAGGGCATAAGTTTCAAATCCTAACACCTTCCTTCTCTGTATCTGTACAATCTTGGACAAGTTACTCAACCTCAGTTTCTTTGTCTATAATATAAGAATGCTAGAAGTACCAAGTTAGAGTTGTTAGGAAGACATACTATATTGATTAACAGAAAGTTCTTAGAACAGAACTCAACAGTTAAGTACTAATAATGTTAACTTCCATTATCATCACTGTTGCTATTAATATCAGTACTACTACTGTTGCTGGTATTATCATTATAATCAACAAAAGCTTTCATATTGACTTTATTTACCAAAATTATTATAACCAAAATCTAATAATTACACTTGTAAATTAAGATCCCATTGTGCCTATGTGGTTTCTGTGAAGAGAATTGAGGAATCAATTACAGTTTTTGTACCGATAATGTTGAAAGAGAATTGAAAGATCCACTGTTCACCAAATGTCTACTGTGCTGGATCCTGTTACTAGAAATCACAATGGAGTTAATACCTGCCCTAAGATGTCTGGGCCAATAGAATAAAGAAGTGATTTATTTACTCATTCCTAAGTGTCACATAGGTAATAAAGAGAGTAGCATATATAGACATCATAAGCTGAGAAGCTCACTCTTTCTGATCAATTCTATCTAGCTGGTACCGTTCCTGATTTCTTCTTAGGAAAAGTATATTACACCTTTAATGTCAAGAAGTCGTTCATATTGGAAACAGTTTCTTTTTTAAAATAACTTTCAGTTAGAGCCATGAGTCATACTATTTAAGTAGCTCATGCAACTAGCCTACCATAAATTCATAAATACTAGCCATAAAAACTAAGTATTTAGCTGAGAAAAAAAAGTAAAGTGGTAATGCTGTAAAATCTGTAGTGCTATAATAATGCAGTTTTAGCTTAATCTTCACTGCTCATACTCGAAGAGTTTATAAAGGATATATTAGCATTTGCAAGATTTTAAAGAACCTTTTTCCTTTTAAATTGTCTTCAATTTTAGGTTTCACTGTCTCAAGGTTCTCAAGGAATTGCCCATCAAACTTATCAACAGCCTGTTATGTTTCCCAATCAGTCTAATCAAGGATCTATGCCCACAGCAGGAATGCCAGTTTACTATAGTGTCATTCCATCTGGCCAGCAAAATAATTTAAGGTGAGTATGTCTAAGAAAGCCAATCCTATGGCTTCTCATCTTTCAGCAGGATTGTAATCTACTGTTAACATTAAAGCTGCCTACAATGCAGTACCTGAGAATAAAATAGTAAAACTGTGATACATTCTATTTAAGTAATGTATGTTTTAACAAGTTCAGTATAAAAGCAACTCATCCCTTATGCAAAACTAAAGCAGAATCTAATCTTCCAAGTGCCTAAAATTAGATCAGTCTCTGATCTGCACAAATGGTTGTCCATAAACCTTGAAGTTTAGATCACTTGTTTAATACAGCAAAACATGTTGCTGAAATTTTTCAGGCTCTGGGAAACTCATTGTTAACAGTAAGTGGAGGAAACTGCTTGAGAGAAACAAAATGATTGTAACTCTGTTAACCAAAGATACAAAGTATTCTACTAACTACTTCAGCTTTTAAGTGCAGAAGTTTCTTTGATAAGCCTAAAGTGTTAAAATAATAATAGTAATCATCCTTTGTATTGAGTATGTTTTTATCATTTTTCAGTCTTTCATTCATTTTCATGACATTTCTGTAAGTTTGCTAGAGGAGCCTTTGCTTTTTTTAAGACGGGCCTTTGGTTGTAATTACTGATAAGTTGTCATCCTGGTTTGATTATAAGTGATACTCAGAGCTGAAGAATTGCTGACATACTTGCTTTATTGAATCTGCTCTTGAAAGTGGGGGTTTTGGTTTTCATTTTACTTTGTTGTCACAGCCACCCTCAGTCCCCTAAAAATTCACATATTTCCTTTCTCTTTTCTGCTGTATGACTGCCAATGGCTGGGTCCCTGATTGAAGAAGACAGCTTTTTAAACAAGTCAGTTGTATTGCAACTTCATATTATTATAAGCTCCTGCTCTTTTGAGGTAGTAGTAGTACATTGTGAATATAGAAATGCATAATGCACTGAATTTCCCTTTTTTATGAACTTAGGTTCTATGTAAATAAGGGGAAATACTCTCAATCTGAGCCTCTTTTTCTAATTTATGTAAATTTGTAGTCTATAATGCCAGTTCAGATTCTGAATTGTTAGAGGCAGAATTCTTAACTGAAACAGGTGAAATCGATAGTGTAAGAATTGCTAAATAAGCTGCTTTTTTGAACCTTTTACTTAACTGAGGGAAGATTACAAAAATAACCATTCCTGTGTACACAGAAGCTAAGAGAAATAGGTTTTATGTAATCTAATAACAGATTTAAGACCAAAAGACACATGTTATTATAAGTTAAATCTGGAGGCCTACATCCTGGAAAGAGGTGCTTTTGTGGGGGAACAAAATAGGTGATCTGTCCCTCCCTGGTGGTGCAGCTCGTTAAAGTGCAGCACTGCAAGGCTAGCCACAGCAGCTTCAGCTCAATTTGGACCCCTGTCTGGGGAGGTGACCACATGGTGCGGCCTACCTCTTCTGTCTCACCCATTGCTCCCCTTAGCAGTGTACTTCGTCATTTGCCTGTTCTGCCCCAACTCTGTCTCTGTTGAATCCTTTCACTGCCCCTTCACCTCTGGCCTGTACCCCAATTCTGTATGCATAAATAAAATCTTTAAAAAAGGAGAACAAGACTAAGAACCTATAACAACCGATGCAACATGACTGTAGATTTTAAAACTTTCCCATATTTGTTATATTTACTAGTTACTTGAAGTTAGTCTTTCTACTTAACTTCTGAGAAAGCTAGCTCTGAGAGTATGTTGAGAGATAAGAGGGTTCAATTCTAAATGATCATTACATTCAGCCTCACTTTAAGTATGATGGCAGAATCCAAAAGCTGTCAAGTAGATGCTGATGACCACTGTTTAGAAAGAACTATACAGGGCCCTCCCTGGTGGCACAACAGATTAAAGCACAGTTCTATGAAGCTAGCAGCAACCACTTCAGCACAAGTTCAGTCCAGGCCAGGGAGGTGTGACCCACATGGCTCAGCAAACCTCTCCTGTCTCCCTGCTGCTCCCATCAGTCACCTGTTCAACTCCCCACTCTGTCTCTGGTGAATCCTCTCCCTGCCCTGGACCTCTGACCTGTGTCCCAGTTCTGTATACATAAATAAATAAATCTTTAAAAAACAAGAAAGAAAAAAGACTACATAATCTTAGCCTCTAGCTCTACTTTTGTTAGGAAAATACAGTTTGGAGAGTTATGGCAATTGAAAATTAAATAGCAGTTAAAAAATAAGTGAAATTCCCCAACAGACTGTACCTTTGGACTAACTCATAATTTAGAAAAATTCTTTGGACTAACTCATAATTTAGGGCTGTGACCTAGATAAGGCAGATAAATTGAAATAGACTGGCTGTAAATTGACAGTAGCAAGTGGTTATCATTTAGCAAACTGGTATTGATTTATTCTAACTACAGATTACTAACATGAGGAATATATTGGATTATACACAAAGTAAGAGTGTATGCCCTGTCCTTATATCAAATTTAGATGTTATTCTCAAATAGACTAAATATAGTAAGATATAAATATCTTTATTATTACTACTTTTCTTACTTATTTGTGGTTTCTGTGTAATCAGAATCTGTATCTTGACTTTTTCTGATTTGCCAAACTAATACTTCTTCAAAGATACTCACTTTTGTGGGTTTATGAAAGTGCATCTGTTTATTTGAAATGTATATTCATTAAGATTAAACTGAGAAATTAAAAAGTATATTGCATTATCTTTTCAGGGTTATTTATATGAAGAAATGTGTACAGTTAGTCCTCACTGTGGATATGATTTTACTAATGTGCCTATGTACTAAAATTTATTTGTAATCCCAAATAAGTATTTGCAGTGTTCTCTTAAGTCATTTACAACCATTTGTAGAATAGCAAAATATTTTGAGTCACTGGACATATACATTGTCAACTGAGGTGAAACAAGTTGACATTCTGTTTCCTTATTTCAGTTCTCATATAACAAACAGAAGTTCGGGTATGAATTAATATCGCTGTTGATTATTAACTACATGTTAATGAATCAATAATACAGCACTCCAGAAAATGCAAAAATAATACATAATGTATGTAATGAAGCCATGGAAAAGAGTGAAAAGTAGCTGACTTTTTGGATTAATGGAATTACAAGTAATAAAAAGAAACAGTGCATTCTGAGATTGAAAACCAAAAATATGATGGTCTCCTCAAACCATCCTCAACTTAAAATACTAAACCATCCTCAAACTTTATTATAAAGAAATACCACATGTATTTAGTTATAAGAAATACATACTAAATAAAGTATCTTTAAATAGAAGCATACATAAAAACAAGATTATGTATTGATCAGTTGACAAAAATACTGTGACCAAAGGCTCATAATAACTTAACCCTATATTTCCAATGACTTTATAGGACATATTTCCTATGACTTCACATTTCCTATGACTTTATAGCACATAACTGCCATGAATAACTTGAATTTATTAAATTTTGTGCCTGTATTGTGTCGGGTACAATAAAGGTACACAGAATGCACTAACAAAATAACAGTTCAGATTATAAGTGAATTTTAGTCATTTTTCCTACTGACACTTGTGACGATCTTATAAAAGTAGAGTGTAAGTGTGACAGCTCTCTAGTCATTATTTTTCAGAACATATTTGTATTTCTCACCAATGCCAAAAATTCAGGCCAGTGAGAATTTGCATATTTAAGTGTACTTAGATATGGGAGAAAGTCAGGGCATATAGTTCCTTCCTTATATCCACTTTGTACAACTTAATGTTTCTTAGGCATAAAATTAGTTTCCCATAGAAGTTGTAGCTTTAGGAACACACTGGACACATGGAGTAAATTTTTGTCCAATTTTTAAATTTCTATAACAACTTTTATCTTCACAATGTCCTTCAGAAAAGGACAAAAATATGTTATTTTTATTTTACACATAGCTACTGAAAACAGGGAAGATTAACCATCACATTTACCTGAAGACCTCCACTCTTGTTTCCTGACTTTTGGTACCCTACCTTATTAACATCATCTACCATAATTCCTAATCTTTTTTTTTTTTTAAATATGTATTTTTTCATTTATATAGAAGTGGGGTACAGGCCAGAGTTACAGCCGGTGAGAGGATTCACCAGAGACAGACTGGGAAACAGGACAGGAAGCTGTATCTAAATACACTGCTGAGAGGAACAGTGAGCTAGACCTAAGACGAGGTCTGTCACGCCCTGTTCAGCTACCTGGCCAGTGATAGAACTCTTGCTTCAGTGGCTGCAATAGTTTCATAATGCTCTGCTTTAACCTGTTGCACCACCAGGGGAGGGCCCCAGAAATTCTTATCAGTGTGTTAGAATCACATGTTGTCTTTTGAAATACTGATCACAACGTCTATTCCTCTGCATTCTCATTTCATTGTCTGAGCCTCATGTTAAGCCTGAACACCATATTTTGAAACATCCATTTGATGTTTGTAGCAACAACAGTTAAAACCCACTGACCCAAAAAAAAAAAAAACACTGCCCTCCCTGGTGGAGCAGCAGGTTAAAGCACACAGCACTGAGAAGCTAAAGCCACTTCAGCATGGTTCGATTCCCGCCCCGGAGGTGATCCACATGGCGTGGCAGACCTCTCCTGACCCGCTCACTGCTACCCTCAGCAGTGTACTTCGTCATTCGGCCTGTTCTGCTCCCCACTCTGTCTCTGGTAAGCCCTCTCACCCACCACACCTCTGGCCTGTACCCCAGTTCTATAAGTATAAATAGATAAATCTTTAAGAAAAAGCAAACAAAAAACCCACTGACCCTAACCAGCCAGAAACCTCTAGTCTTGTTTTAATCCCTAGACTTCAGCTGCACACAGGTAAGCCATTAATATTTTACATGGAAATCATAATATCTGTTACCTGGTATTAGTAGATGTTCATACAAGACCCAGTGTCTGAAGAAAAAAATTATAAATTGCTCCACCAGCAAGTATAATAAATCTCAGTTTGTTAGCTGTCACTAACTTTAAACTATAGAATCCTATCTTAACATTGTTATTTTTTTACT